GATGAGTTTTTTCTGTAATGTTAACTCTACCATCTAGCCTTAAACAGGATTGTTACACGCTACAACAAGGAGGAAGACTTACGTACCTAGTCTATCTTCCTCCATTAGGACTCCTTTTAACAGTTCTTCTTTTTTCAAATATTTGCAACTTTGAATAACAATGCGATCTCGAAGAAATTCTATCCACTGAATTCGGAAAAACAAAACAAAATCTAAGCTTTTTTTAATGGACATTTCCCTTTTTGGGATAAAGCCGTAGTGTTTTTGTCATAATAATTTTTACTCTATTGTCAACGGCTTTCGAGCTAAATCTCACGAAAAATATCTGCAGTCAGAGAAAAAAAATTTTTCGACTTGTAAAAGAAAGCAAAATCTTTAATGGGACATGTAAAATCCTTAAATTACACAACTACTGGAATCCTGTTGTAGGTAGCCATTTTTCTTTTGAAGAGACAGAGATTAGTCCTTTCAATCTTGAATTTCACATGGGTTAGATAATAAAACACCAAATAAACATAAATAAATATCTCAGAAAACTTCCTAATTAATTACTTTTGTTAAGACCCCTGCTAGCCAAATCTGTTTTAATGATAGAGTGTTTTCTATTATTATATTTTTGAAACAGACATCCAACAATTACTACAAAACACTTTGTTTTCCGAGGATACCTGTCTTCGATTTTCTTTCATATAGATCAAAACAGGTTATGTGGGACTGTTGTAATAATAGTAGTCATGCTTGTGCTTTTCAATAAATCATTCTAAAATCTTCTGGATTTGTCAAAATCCTTAGAAAACACAATCATTATGAATAATATAAAGAAACTCAATCAAACATACAACAAATATGTCGAATATACCTTTTTTATAGCAATGCTAATTATGAAATAACAAAACAATTTATCATAACAATAATATTTCTGAAGAATACATCTGTGTAAATATAGACGATTTTATTTTTTTTAGATTTTCAAATATTATCATTAATTATATTAATATGATATTGTCTTCAAATAGTCAGTGATACACTTAGGCATTATATGCAATAAAAAACACAAGAAAACTTTTTTCAAGATAAATTTTATACTAATGGGGCGATATTATCAATAAAGTAGCAGAGATTTCTAATATTACACATGAATAATCATTCAAATACAGAATAAACACAAGTTACAGCGAGTAATCTCCACTGCTAAATTAACACTTGGAAAAAAAGTGATTTTAACAATAAATTTGAAAGATAAAATCTCTTTTGAGCCATATATTGAAGATGATAGCTTACTAAATTTTACAATTGTAACATAAAACTACAAATATTTTATGGTAATTTGGATACTACAATATGAAAATTTGTTATTAAAAATAAGCAATTAAACGAAAGGAACAACATTTTTACTTTGAATTTTGAAAATTACCAAATTTAAGGAATATTGATGTCCTATATCTCTGTTAAGTGTAAATTAACCTTAGTATACTTGGCAATTAAAACTTGAAAAGGACTCTAATAAATAAATATCCTTAGTCGCTAGTAATTATTAAAACATCTCTATTATACGTAAAAGCACCAAATTCAATTCAAGATATAGCTAACTTACATTTATCTGAGTATTATTCAGTTTTGTGATTTGTTATAAATCTATTAAATCTTTTTAGTATTCCTAAAATAACAATAGCAATATACACTTGAATTGTTTTAATTTTCTTTTTGCCTCTAAAAGAATAAATATACTCACCGATATTAACGTCGTTACTATGTCTCTCCAAGATACTGTACCGTAATTAATTTTTGCTTTTCACTATGTTTCTAAAACAATACTTCTAATACCTCCTCAAATTTATAAAGCATGAAAATTTTGATGGTTTCGTAGTTATGTAAACATTTTCTTATTATCATTAGAATTAGAGCTTTTGCTCTTCAATGAATTAAAATATGTTCTTAGGACAATATGCTTTATAACATAATATAAAAGATGTTTACTTATATCTGTTAGAAGTGTTTTTTGTTTTTTTAAAGATCTCTGGATATCTGATATTCAACTGTAATAATATAAAAGAATCTCATAAATGACTGTATCAATTTTCCCTATTAATTGAATACTAATTAGAAATATGCTTGGGATAAATCAATTTGAACTTACAATTTCATTTCTATGAACTTCATTTTTTTTATATAATACAGGATACGACAATCTCTTGTTATACTAAATTCCTATGGGTCAAAAGATTTTGTATATATCATAATGAGTATGTTTTGGGCATTATTTCTGTTAACTATAATAAATATTTATACAATAATGAATCAACTACTTCTTATAGGTTGCGGATTGCATACATTCCAAACTAGAAGAAATGATTCACTTCCTAATACTACATAAAAACATTGATGCAATAACATCAACATCTAATACGATTAAAAAAATGAATGTCCAAATTTTTCTGATCAAAAACAACAGAAAAAAAACTGTTTTTCTTGCGCTGAAGTAATGAAAAAATGCATTTCTTTCGAAGTGAAAATAAAACATTTAACATAAACAACTTTATCTACTATGGATCGTCTTAAAAAACTTTAGCTTACGTATTGACTGGCTATTCTTCTCAACAACACCATATTAGTTTTCAAAGAAATTACAAACTTGGTATCCACTAGAATTTTCCAATCCATTTGAAACAAAAACAATAAATACCATGAATTATTGGAACAATAGCTATAGCATATTCCCCCTTGATGTCAAATCACAATTAAAATTCATAATTAAAACGTTTATAGTATTATAATTACCTCTGCTTGTTTGGAAACATCTATTAGCCCATTTTACGATGAAAGCAAGTAGAAAGTTTCATGTGAGTGAGATATTTCTGTTTTGCCCTCAACCAATTTTTATTTTGCTATTATGTGGTCGTTTAAAGGAAAATTTCTCAATGTTTGTTCCAAACAACAACAGGCAAGATGTCATGCACAAAAGTAGTCTAAAACAACATATTTGTGCCAGTTGCATAAATGTCAAAAAGGAAATTGCAAGATTCGAAAACAAAACTACTATTTACCATGAAATTATGCAATCTTAAATTCGACTACGTTATTATAGTTAAAAATGCCAAATAAGTGAATGCAAATAATTTCTAGGCTTTAGCATCTATTGCAACTGAAATATTTTGATAAATGATAAAGATTGGCAGTGTTGTATTGATGCTAACTTTAGCAAGTTAAACTTAAATCAGGTTCCATAGAGACAATAACTTATGTGGAGTTATATTTTAACACATATGATAGAATTGATGATTAGCACAGTAGTATTGAAGATAGTTGGTTTATCTTAGACAATAATGAATTTTATATCTAACATTTCTATTACTTGAGCCTTAGACAAATTGGATCTCCATTTTATTAAAAACTATGCAGAAAATATATATGGTGTTTATAAACAAACACACATTGATCCTTCACTATTTCTTTTTCTTGAAATATTTTCTTCAAAAAGTTGTTTTAATGATCTACAAAAATCACTTTTAAATAAAAAAGTAGTGATTATCTGCCTATTATTCAACAGTTTTGATAAGTATACTAATAATTAAATAAAAAGAAAATAAGGCAAAAGCTAGTGGATATTATTTTACAAATAAAATAACAGAGAGACTTTTCTTACCTATGGTTATAATATTATATATATCTAGAATATTTATTGCTATATCATAATAAATAGAATTCTAAAATTTATTAGTTCACCATTAAATAAATATGAAATCCAACCTTTATTAATGCGTTTAAATAATTTATATATTACAACATCCAAAATTTTTCACATAATACTATTAATACTTACAAATGAATAATATTTAATGACATAGTTTTTGGAAAAGATAATACAAAGTGAAATATTAAAAACTAATGGGTGTATATTATATTTCTATTATTTTGTATATTTTATTAAGTCTTAGGATATAATTAGATGTAAACATTTCAAGTATATATAATGACAGTTTGATATTATTTATTTCACACAATACATCATAACTAAAAGTTGGATTCTTATAATACGTAGTTAGATTTACAATAAGCTGTTAATAATCAGTGGTGTGTATTTGTTACTTGCTATATTGGCAATCTTACTTAAAATATACACTACCATTAGATTAATAATTAATTATACTCCCAGGAAGTACATTCCTATAATATTTAGTAACTTTGGTGGTTTCCTCATTAGAAATGTCTTCACCAAGACGCTGGATAGAGTATCACCAAGTGGAATAATTTTTGGTTTATTTGTTTGAACGTTATCGAGGTCTACCTGCTCAGGTAGTTCCACAAGGTCGATAGTCTCTGGGTCTTTCGATATTCCTTTTACTTTACTCTCATTCAGCTTAGTTCTCTTAGATATAGGGTTCCCATTCAGTATTTGATTCAAAGATACAGATCTTTTCATTTTTACATCTATTGGAGTAGTTTGATTGTTTTATATTGTCTCTTTAGAGTATCAAATATGATCATTGATATATTTCAGTAGGATCTTCAGATATTTGGTGTGTACGATAGCATTGAAGGATTCCATATAGATAGTGACGTATTCTTCACAACTGAAATGAAAAAAATATCGTCCTTGAGACGCATAAAGTTGTATTTAAGAAGGTCAATAACTTATACAACCCCTGTAGTCATGCTTTTTAGGTAAAGAAAAGAAGGCATCATGATGATGAGAATGAAGTAAACTACTAAGGCCATGCTCGTAGTAGTAGGACAAGATTCAATATTTTTAAGTAAAAATAAATTAGACCAACTAAAAGTGTTCTGTAAATAAATTATATTTAAAAAAAATATTTTATACAAAAAGTAAATAAATAAAACCGAGGTTAGTATAAAAAAGAGAGGCATTTGTACTTGTACTAATAATCAACAGGTGCTGTAATTTTTTTATACTAACATCAGACAATCACAATAAATGATATATTACAGCGTCTGCCAATTATTAGTACAAGTTCAAATGCCTCTCTAAAACAGTATCATAATTAGATCAAATGAATAAGAGCCATTAAAATAGCGCTGAATAGAACATCTGAGGTCAAACTAGCTGCCAAACCTTCATATTTTGCAACTGTAACACTTTCCGCAGAATTAGAAGAAGAAGTAGCAACACCTACAGATGGAACAACATTGGAATGGGCAGATTCCATGCTTACGTCTGAAGGTGCAGTAGCAGTAGCAGCAGAAGCTGAAACAGAACCTGTCTTAGCACTGTCTGGACATGAAGTAGTGTATGTAGTGATAACAACACCATCTGTAGTATAAACTGTGCTAACTCTCAATACTGGTTCGCCATGTAGGGCAGTTTGACCGTTTTGGGAAGAAAACGAAGAGGTAGCGGTGGATAGTGAGCAAATTGGACATTCAGTAACATCTACCATGTGTGTGCTCTTAACAGTAGCGGTTGTGACGGAGTGAGCAACATTTGTTTTAGCAGATGCAGCTTCACCAGCAGCATGTGCATTACCATTGGCACTAATAGTAGAACCATTACTGTTGCTTAGGGTAGATGTTGTTGCAGTAGTAGCTGATCTGTCAGTGGCATCCATAGCAGAACTATGACTGTTACTCGAGGTAGATTTCTTAGAAGTGGTGGTTGATCTGTGAGTAGCATCCATAGCAGAACTATTACCATAGCTCAAGGTAGATTTATTAGAGGTGATGGTTGACTTGCCAGTAGCATCCATAGCAGAACCACGACTGTTGCTTGAGGTAGATTTTTTAGAAGTGGTGGTTGACTTGCCAGTAGCATCCATAGCAGAACCATGAATGTTTGAAGTAGATTTTTTAGAAGTGGCTGTTGATCTGTCAGTAGCATCCATAGCAGAATTATGACTGTTTGAAGTAGATATTGTTGCAGTGGCAATTGACTTGTCAGTAGCATCCATAGTAGAACTATGACTGATTGAGGCAGAGTTTTTAGAAGTGGTGGTCGATCTGTCAGTAACATCAATAGCAGAACCACGACTGTTTGAAGTAGATTTGCTGGAAGTGTTGGTTGATCTGTTAGTAGCATTGATATTAGAACCATTACTTTTGCTTGAAGTAGATTTCTTAAAAGTGATGGTTGAGCTGTTAGTAGCATCCATAGTAGAACCATGACTGTTGCTAGAGGTAGAAGTGATGGTTGATCTGCCAGTGGCATCCATAGCAGAACCATGACTGATTGAGGTAGATTTTTTAGAAGTGGAGGTTGATCTGTCAGTAGCATCAATAGTAGAACTATGACTGATTGAGGCAGAGTTTTTAGAAGTGATGGTTGATCTGTCAGTAGTATCCATAGCAGAACCACGACTGTTTGAAGTAGATTTGCTGGAAGTGGTGGTTGATCTGTTAGTAGCATTGATATTAGAACCATTACTTTTGCTTGAAGTAGATTTCTTAAAAGTGATGGTTGAGCTGTTAGTAGCATCCATAGTAGAACCATTACTCTTGCTTGAAGTAGATTTCTTAGAAGTGGTACTTGATCTGTCAGTAGCATCCATAGTAGAACTATGACTGTTTGAGGCAGAGTTTTTAGAAGTGATGGTTGATCTGTCAGTAGCATTGATACCAGAACCACGACTGATTGGAGTAGATTTGTTAGAGGTGGTAGTTGATCTGTTAGTAGCATCAATAGTAGAATTATGACTGTTGCTAGAGGCAGATTTTTTAGAAGTGGTAGTTGATCTGTTAGTAGCATCCATAGTAGAACTATGACTGTTTGAGGCAGATTTCTTAGAAGTGATGGTTGATCTGTCAGTAGCATCAATAGTAGAACCATGACTGATTGAGGTAGATTTTTTAGAAATGGTAGTTGATCTGTCAGTAGCATCCATAGCAGAATCATTACTGTTACTTGAAGTAGATTTCTTGGAAGTGATGATTGATCTGTCAGTAGTATTCATAGCAGAAGCATGACTGATTGAAGTAGATTTCTTAGAAATGGTGGTAGATCTGTCAGTAGCATCAATAGTAGAACCATAACTGATTGAGGTAGATTTCTTAGAAGTGGAGGTTGATCTGTTAGTAGTATTCGCAGCAGAACCATAACTGATTGAGGTAGATTTCTTAGAAGTGGAGGTTGATCTGTCAGTAGCATCAATAGCAGAACTATGACTCTTTGAAGTGGATTTCTTAGAAGTGATGATTGATCTGTTAGTAGCATCCATAGTAGAACTATGACTGTTTGAGGCAGATTTCTTAGAAGTGATGGTTGATCTGTCAGTAGCATTGATACCAGAACCACGACTGATTGGAGTAGATTTGTTAGAGGTGGTAGTTGATCTGTTAGTAGCATCAATAGCAGAATTATGGCTGTTGCTAGAGGCAGATTTATTAGAAGTGTCAGTTGATCTGTCAGTAGCATCAATAACAGAACCACGACTGTTTAAAGTAGATATTGTTGCAGTGGTAGTTGATCTGTCAGTGGCATCAATAGCAGAACCATTACTGTTGCTTGAGATAGATTTCTTCGAAGTAGCAGAAGGGGTAGAGGATGACTTAGGTTTACTGGAAGTACTACTTGAAACAGATGCTTTCAAAGGCATGACATTTTCAGGGAATTCACCTTCATAATTACCAGGAGGTGCGTACTCACAAACAACATAATCACGGTAATAGGTGCCACAATATTTTACAGCACAACCAACCTCCTTGGTGGATCTCCAAACAACCTGTGTAAAATGTCCAGTTGCCATGGAAAAGCCAGGATGGCTGTAATTATAATGAGCAATTTCACTATACCAGGCGTCCACAGCAGCGACTGCATTAGGAAATCCCAGGGCAAGGTTTTCACCGTATGGACCATGAGAGTGCACAAGTCTACCAGATGAACAATCATAAACGGCAGCATACTTCTCAGCATATACAGCTAAAGTATTAGACCAGGTCAAATTACCAGTATCGACATGCAAAGCTCTCAACTTATTGTGTGCGAGAACAACAGCAGCCTGTTCTTCTGGAGTCAACGCATATTTAGTATAATCAGTAGATGTTGTTGCTGTGGTGGTTGATCTTTCAGTAGCATCAATAGCAGAACCATGACTGATTGAGGTAGATTTCTTAGAAGTGGTAGTTGATCTGTTAGTAGCATCCATAGTAGAACCATTACTGATTGAGGTAGATTTTTTAGAAGTGGTAGATGATCTGTCAGTAGCATCCATAGCAGAACTATGACTGATTGAGGTAGATTTCTTAGAAGTGATGGTTGATCTGTCAGTGGTATCTATAGCAGAACTATGACTGATTGAAGTAGATTTCTCAGAAGTGATGGTTGATCTGTCAGTGGTATCTATAGCAGAACTATAACTGTTACTCGAGGTAGATTTTTTAGAAGTGGCTGTTGACTTGTTGGTGGCATCGACACTAGACCCATTACTGTTATTTGAGGTAGATTTTTTAGAAATGGTGGCTGATCTTTCAGTAGCATCAATAGCAGAACCACGACTGCTGCTTGGGGTAGATGTTGTTGCAGTAGTAGCTGATCTGTCAGTAGCATCAACAACAGAACTATGATTGTTGCTTGAGGTACATTTTTTAGAAGTGGCAGTTGATCTGTTAGTAGCATCAATAGCAGAACCACGACTGTTGGTTGAAGTAGATTTATTAGAGGTGACAGTTGACTTGTCAGTAGTATCAATAGCAGAACTATGATTGTTGCTCGAGTTAGATGTTGCTGTAGTGGTAGTTGAAGTGTCAGTGGCACTTAAATAAGTTATCTGGGTTGTTGATGGAAAGAGGTCTGACCAATCTCCAAAAGGTATTGTGTAAACAGGGTTAGGATTTGATGTCGGAGTTATAGTAATTGGAGCTACAGTAAGAGTTTTTTGATGTTGAGACAGAGAACTCCACCCAGCGGCGTTGGTTATCCAGTCAAGTGTTGAGAGAGCATCAACAGTTTTATAATAAGCTGGTTTCAGAGGCATGACATTTTCAGGGAATTGACCAAGTACATTACCAGCAGGTAAGTACTGACACACAAGATAATAAGTACCGGGAGAATATTCTTGTGCAGCACAACCAACTTCCCTGGAGGATTTCCAAACAAGCTGTGTAAAATGTCCATCATGATACCAAACGGTAGGAGAGGAAGGATCGCTGTAATTATAAAAAACGATTTCATTAAACCAGCTGGCTACACCGTGGGTTAGAGGACCAGGTCCCGCGTAAGCGTTTGAACCAATATCGTAGTCGTAACTTGGAGGGTCTCCTACAATGTGAACACCACCACTGCAAACCCACCACGCAGCCCGTTGGGCCAAATCATCATTCCAGGTCACATTAGGAGTGTCGACCATCATAGATCTGAACTTATTAGTTGCCTCCAAAACAGCAGCCTGTTGTTCTGGAGTCAACAAACAACTAGCATCTCTAGATGCATTATACGGATCATTAAACATTAGTCCGTCCACTGTAACATAAGGACCCTCACCTTGAGTAACCGGTTCGAGATAACTAGTGGCATAAGATACTTGCGGTTCCGAATAAGTAGGAAATGATTCAATAGAAGTAACATAAGCTATTTGTGCCTTCGATACAGCAGAAAAAGCAGCTAAAAGCAGTGCCGCGCACAATGATAAGGCACTTGAGACCATTATATTATTTTCAAATATCCGAAATTATTAACTTTTCAGTAAAATATATAGTTTAGTGCGTATACTTTATGGCGTTAGTTTTTTGGTTATTTGAGGTGATTCACTTAGTTCGGTTATACTGGTAGCATCTGGGAGTATAACGAGATGATGCTCATGCCTGCAAGAAGAGAAGCAAGAAACGAAAGAATATTTAGACATAATCCATGGTAGTTTTATATAAAAATGTGCTCATGACTTGCAATAAAAATGATCGTCTAATAGGTTCTAAATTTTTGACTGAACCAGAATAAGATATAAATAAAGTTTTGCAATAAATCTTCAATGATAAAAGTGTGTAAAGGAGTAGAAACAAAGAATGAAGAAAAAGATCTGTAATCTTCAACAATTGGACTAAAAATCCAAGTAAAGCATAAAAACACAGCGTAGTCAATTATTCTGTTATGTCTAATAGGAAAAAGAATCACTTTGTAGTGATTTCTTTAAACGAAAAAGGAAACAGAAAATGTTGAGTCCTCAAAAACATTTCCAAATATAGAATTAAAAATATTGTTTATTGTTTAGACATTTTCACATTGCAGGACAATAGAATTAGTTTTGTCTAGATATTTTACTTTGGAAGAACATAAAAGGGAAAGTTTACAAGTTTAAGAATGGACAAATAGTTTTTTTCCTTTTTGCTATTGTGTTGGAAACAATTGTCTTTGTATTTGATGCAACGACAAAAAGAATAAAAGTGAAGAAAAAAATTACACAAGTGGGAAAAGAGACAATACAGACAATTCTAACCACACTATAGATATACATGTCTCTTTGTGTTCTATTTTTGAATTTTTGCCCCTGAATTATTTTAGAGAATCCCCACTCTTACAGGATCATCGCCCCTGATTAGTTAGTTATTTGGTGTCTATATCTCTTTTATACATATCACAATATTCTATAGTAAATCGATCTATAGAATGTTCAAAATTTATTACTTCATTCACAATAGAATATTAAAATTTTTGGCAGTGACCGTGGGATCGAATAGGAATGTATAATTTAAAAAAAGGGGTAAAGAATTTTTATTGCATTGTTACTGTTTGTACATAAGTTATATAAAGTTATACACTATAAGAACCATCAACAATTTTTTTTCTTTTTTTAGTTCGTATTGCAAGAATCAGCACCTTATATGACGTTAGCATGTAGTAATATTTTTTATAATATTCAACAAATGTAGTAAAATTGTTCTTTTGTTAACCAAGAATTTATTATTTAAAGTTATTATTGTTCTATTAGAACATCTATTATGATAGAGATCTAAAATATAATTATTCTCCTGGCAGATTTGGATCTCAATTAGACTTTTTAGTGTGATATTCCTATTTCCGATTTTTTCTCTTTTTTCTGATCTAGTATAAGAACAATATAATTTGTAAAATTCAAAATTCTCCATTTAGGTGGAGTATTTTTTCTCCTTTTCGGATACACAATATGTAAGACATGCAAGAGTACTATTGAACTAGAAAAAATGACGTATACCTTGTGGAATCCTTAAAATCTTTTACAATGTCGTTTAATGATAGCTATTTGGTTTAATTTTAAGACAAACAAGAAAAAAAGATGATTATTATTATATTCGACCTATTGTTATGATGTTGTTTATTTATACTAGGTCAAAGGGTGATAAAAAGTTTGTATCTTTTTAAAGTAGCAAGACTTGATAACAGAGCATTTCTTTTTGTTTTTTGTTTGCCAATTGGTGGTTGAATGAAATGACTATAATAGATAGTATACAATGAACTATTTTTAAGCATGTTTTTTATTTTTAGATTATGGGATTTATTGTTGTCCAAAGCATCTTCTTGTACTAGTATTTAGGAATATTTCTGTTAGTAACTGAAATGAGGTATTTTTATTCCTAAGTTTCGTGATATGTCTAAAAATGACAATTTAAAAACAACCCTAAAGTTCTATGGCTTTTGTAAAGAATTGACTTACAATTTAAAAAATAAAACCTAACACAAGTCCTTGGGACAAAAAATAACAACAATCACTCTAGGACGGTTGCTAACTAAAAAAAGAAATAAACTTTGTTGGTCATTTTGCTCGTGGAATTAAACAAAGTACATTCCAACAAATAAATGCTATAGATTAGATAAATACTGAAGAATAACCTTCTTAAAGAAGATAATAACTTGTTTTTTCTACTTACTTACTATATTCATATTAAAACAGGAAAATATAATTAATTCATCTTGATATGGGTTCAAGCAGAAAGTTAGTTTCTTTGTTGAGTTGCAAAACTATGTTCAAACCCTCGTTTGCTAGAAGAAGAGTTGAACAATCAAACTTGTTGTAGTTTTTCATTCTAAAAAAGTTAAACAATCAGACAAAAATTTGTCCAAATGTAGACAAAATTTAACCGGTTAGAAATTGGAATTAAGTATTTTTACTTTTGCCAAAAATTTTCTTTGCTTTTGTTATTACAGAATAATTGAAAAGTGAAATGAGGTTTCTGTGGTAATTGGTCTGAATGTGTGTTTACATGACAAGAGGATGTTTTTCTGTTTTACTGGAACGTACAAACAAAAAAATCTTTCATGAAAAAAAGGAAAAATTTGAGTTAGCTAAATATAAACAATAATAAATAAGAAAAATTTTCAAAGAAATTTCAATTTTTTCTAATACTTCCAATTTTTTTTATTTTAATATAGCACCACCAATTTGAATTCACATTACAAGTGTAGATGTTACTTTTCTGGAAATATAAAAATTCTTCATTCTGTTTTTCAGAAAATTACAATAATGCCAAGTTGTGTTTTGGTTACTGAAAATTCGTCATGCAGATAGTGTTGATTAGTAAGAATTGCTATTGCATCTTCATAATATTTGGATAGAACCAATACATGTATTAAACAGGATCGTGTTTCTTTTGGATGAATAATATTAGTATACATGTGTTTAGCGTTGGTGATCATATTATATGTCATTGTGATGTCAATATGTAGAGTAATTTCCCCTCGATCTCTTATTTTGGAATTAATAATTATATAAATGTAAAAGAAGCATACAATATAACGTAATTTATCCAGGTTGCAAAATTAATAAGTAAAGTCGTCTACTTATATGTGTTTACCTTTTGGCAATTTTTCATAATATATTAATTTATTTTGATTCTGTTTGATCTTGTCTCTGTAATATTGATTGTGCAAAACAAACATTTTTCTTCTTTGATATAATTACATGTTTCTCAAACCAGTAATATATCATTCCAGCAGAAATATCTATAAAAGATATTTTTGTTGTAGTCCAAATAGAGTTTAAAGTAAAAGTTAATGAGGATTCGCGAAATTTATATGATAAAAAACATCAGTATAGCGATTTCATAATGTTCTATTCGAGTTCAAACCAATTATTACTAGAGTACTATCAAATAAAAAACAGTATTTAGTATATTAGTAAGAAATATTTTTTATGACTAAAGATGAGACACTGGTTGTTTGGAGTGGTAGCATATTGCTTACTGTATGACACAGCGTTTTATTTCTTGGAAAGTCGTGGTGTTTGTATTTAATACAGTCATGACTTAACTTATTAGTAAATTGGATCTCTGGTTTATTAAAAACATATTAAAGTAATGTATATAATTATATAATATGTTATCTGCAAATATAAAATGATCTCTCTTCTTTTGATTCTTTTCTTTAAATTTTTTTTTCTTAAAATTTTTTTTTCTTAAAATTTTTCTTCTTGAAAAATATTTTTCTCTTTTAATTATTATTATTAACGACATAATAAAACAGTCTTTAATAAGAAAACCTAATAGACATACTGTCTATGTTCTAACATATACTATATACAAACAAAAAAGAACGACATATATGAATTATGAATCTAATAAGTTCACTGATTAAAGACATAGGTGTTCTGTAAAAATAAGTTGATTTCTTCTTTTTGGTCCTATTTTTTATTATAAACCAGTTCAATATCATTACATTCAATAATGATAATCACAATTGTTATGGAATTTCTAGGTAGTTCTAGAAAATAAATTATGGTTTTTGTAACTTTGCAAACTACTGAACTTAAAACCATTGAAGTGTCACCTTAAGCAGTTTCAGTTTTTTTTACAAAAAATTGTAGATTTCCTGTATGTTAGATATGACACAAAAATTTCTGAATCCTTAAAGATTCTTAATGAAGTTGGAGTACCCACAGCTATATTAATCTAGACTACTACAGTTACAGACAACAACAAATCTTTACCAGCCAATGTTATTGTTGTTGTTGTTACTCCGTCTTAATCTATCATCTACACTGTGGCTATAGTTAAAATATCCACTAACAATGAAAACCAACCAACATCTAGCAACAATATATCATGCATTACTACTGTTTTGGGTTAACAAAGGGCAATGTTCAAACTACTTTAGTAACCAATAGTATCCAATTTAACAAACTAGAAACAGGAATAATAACAACAATACCGGCTATATTCTGTGATGTGTATATTATTTCTTGTAGGTCTAATAACAACCGCAAATGATGCTTTGCAACAGCTAGGTGTTGGTTAGTTCTCATTGTTAGTGAACTTTCCACTAATAGTGAATGGTGTTGGTGCTAGAGAGAGATGGAGTGACAACAATAACAACAAAATCTACTGAAAAAGATTCATTTTCGTATTAGTGTAGAAGCATAAATTGATGTAATTGTGGTTAAAGTAGAGATATTACCAGTGGTGGTGGTATACAAAGCGGATGGAACTAAAGTAATCAGTACAATAATTTCAGTATTCTGATAATAAAGAGCTGTCGCTATTGACAAGCTTAATAGTATAGAGAATAGGCTAATGTTGTAAAAGTAGTTTAGCTAGAACATAATGAAAGTACAGCTATTTGCTAAAAAATTTTTTCAATAGTATCTAAGTCCTGGTTATTTGTATGAAAATAGATCTGATATGATTTTTAACTGTAAATAAATTTGGCATAGCCTTTGAATTAATTAGATAAACACTTTCCTTACCAGTGACTTTACCTATCTATGAGAAAATTATTGAAGATAATACCTTTGAATTTAATCCAGTAGATATGCCGTAGAATCTATTGGTTATTGATGACACCATTATTCGTTAATAATCCTGAGGTTATGTGTTTCTGATAACAGTAATTCTTGTTGAAATCTCAATAATATTTTACTTGGATAGATATAAGATATAGACTCTTTCTATATCTCTAGGTGTAATATTCCTATATATCTATATCCCTAATCTAAGATAACCTAAAAGTATACACTTATATACTATATATCTAAACTTATTTAATCCTTGGTTTCTTGTGCCTTCTTCTCGTTCGTTCTTCTTGTTCCTTATGATAAGCCCTAAGAAAGAAGTATCTAGGGATTTTCGAAGGTGACTGTAGTAATAATGAAGACAAGATATTGAAAAGAGTTTGAATGGTAGAAGAAGTAAAGCAAGAGCAAGAAGTGGCCAGAGTAATTCTAAGATGAAAAAGAAACGTGGTAATTGTTGATGTCGGGAGTAAATTACCAGTATTTTATTTTTAACAGTATGAGGAATTGAGGTAACACCCCTTAATTTTCACTAATAAGATATATTTATAGTGCCAATAACATTCTATAAATAGTTGATAACCTATGATATTGTCAATGTCTTATTGGCTTGTAATAAAAATATTAAAGTGTTTGATACTGAAACTTGACATCACCAGACGTATTGCATTTTTCACATATAACAATAGTTCCATGATAAAAAATTTTTTCATCACCTAAATTCAATAAAAAAAAACCAGTTTTTTTAAACTCTAGTTTAGTTGTTCCAATATACAACTATGCTGTGCTAATTGGTTATAAATGCATGCTAATAGTAAAAAAAATGTACGGTATTATTATACCCAAATCAAAAAGATACTTTTGTATTCAATAATCATATGAACAGATTTTGGGGAACAATCAAAATCTTTAATCAAAAAGAACAATACATATGACATCAAATAAATCGCGCATAACTTTTGTCTACCTCTGGATGATGTCGTTCACGGAACATTGAAAATTTTTTTTAAAACAAAAACAAAAAAAAGTCTCTAAAAAACTCATCATCTACTTTTTTAAAAACGGCTTTTTTATTGTAAATTTTCAGATCATAATAAGATCAGTTCTTTTGTTTTTCCAAGTTTATTGGGGTGGGGGATATACTAGAAAGGAAATTTAAAACAGACAAATAAGAAAAAGAAAGTCAAAAACAAAAGATTTAAAATTTCTTGTTTTATCTTCCAAATTTTTTCTTGAAAGACATGTTTTTTATGTACAAAAATTTTTGAAGATTGCAATTTTAAAATAGTAATCTTGCTTTTATTATTTTATTAAAAATACATACACTGTAAGAAAATAATTCTTTATAGGGTTAAGGCTGATAATTTTAGATATTATGTCCACCAGTTGCTTCCTATTCTTCATTGGCATAACATATAGCTCTAAAAAATAATGAGATATTTTCTTTACTGTATAGTTTGATTAGATTTAACTTGTTTTTAAGAACATTTAAACGAGGAAATTTTAAAAAAATTCTTAACAGGTCAAAAAAAACTCGCTATTCAATCCCACATCTTATGTTTTTCTACAAACAACATTGTTCCATCTAATATTCCAAAAATAATCTATTCTTCTAAAGTTATTTGCCGATATTATGTATATGCAACACGTAAGAAAGATCTATCAATTTTTTGGGGCAACACTTACTGGTACTATTTTCTTTCATTGTTACCATCGTTTTTATTCTTTTATTATTTGTCGTCTTATTTTATTCTATTATACTATTATTTGTTGCGCTGCTCCTGAGCAAGTCTTTGGAAAACTATTGAAGATAAAAGCACTTTTTGAAACTCTATTTTTGCCTTTACCCCTTTTCCTTTCCTTTCTTTCTTTTGTATGCCTTAACGGGAAAAGACATTTTTAATTCTCTCACTGTATTTACCGAAAATACTGTTTTATTTCTATTATTTCCAGAGTAGGAAAAAAATTCCAAAAAAGGCCAACTTTGAAAGTGTTTTTTTACAGTTCCTTCAGAACTGTTGGACAAATCTTGTCCAAATCGGGATATTCTTGTGCGACAATAGGATATGCATTGCGTATTTGTCCTTTTTTCCATTGGTTTTTTTAGCAAAGAGTTGATGTAAGTTCTCTTATCTTATTATAAAGCATTTTTTACCAATAAACATTTTTAATGACCAAGAATCGTAAACATCAAGTGCTTTTCCCTGAATTTGTTTATTACTAAGCTCTTTTGCTTCTTTTTTTTATTTTCATCTCAACAAAGACATGTCTCCTTGATCTCAAGGATTTTAATTGTTATCAACCGTTATCATAGTTTTTTGTAAAAATATTTGTCTTTTATTGTTTATTATGACCAAGAGAACAATACTTTTAATTCAATCTACAAGTTTTTTTATAAATGTCTTGATGTTTTTTTGTTAGATTGTTCATATTTCTAAAGATATAAAAATAAATACTATATGATTTGGTCATCTCTTCTTTTCGTGAATTATTCTCCTTTCCTTCCTTCTTGCTATGAATAAAACACCACAGCTCCAAGAGCATTAAACACAGGTAAAATTAAAAGTTTGATCAAGTAATAAGTCTCTTAAAGTATCTTTGCTCAACCCAGGGAAAAAGTACACAAATCTTTTTCTCTACAACCCAAGACATTCATTCATTCAAAATGCACAGTGATATACGTTCAATCACTAGAAAGTTTCTCTCCATTCTGTTGCTTTTTACGGTTTTTCATGTTTCGTTCGCTGGTAATATCACCCCAAAAGCATGCCTTACTGGAAAAATAATTCAGCCAGGTGCTACTGTCGAATTCTACGAATATCCACTTGGTGATATTGTAGATATCAATAGCCCAGACTTCCCCATCAGTGGTTATAAGAAATTTCGTTATGTTGGTGAAATCAAAGGTGTCACAAATCTTAACTGGGATTCCGGTTGGCCTGCAATTGTGCCCCCATATGGTTATACGGGAGTGCCCATCACACACTTTACGATGGTGGCCACTGGTTACTTTGTTGCCCCATTTACTGGTATTTACACTATGTCCCTAGAAGTGGACGATTATGCCGCTTTTTTCTTTGGTGCCGGTGCAGCATTTGATTGCTGCAACCGAACATCAACCTTCTCCTCTGATGATGTTATGTTCAAACTTACTTCGAGTGAAGGTGGTAGGTTAGGGGGAGGTGGCCATAAGGTGTATCTGGAGGCTGGGTATTCCTATCCATTTAAAGCTGTTTATACTAACGTGAAACAAAGAGGTATCCTTAAAGTAGCTATCCATCTACCTGGTGGTATTATTATCACTGATTTCGGTGATGCTCTATACTCGTACGCGGAAGATGATGAAGAGCGGGAGGAGTTCTGTTCCGCACTTACCGTTAGTCATCCTTCTACAACCATTTTCAATACTCGGTACGAGATGACTGTTCAATCTTATGTTAGAGATTTGCCTACACCTAGCACTGTTACTACCATCACTACGACAGATTGGTTCAATAAGGACGACGCACAGGTAAACATCATTACAGTTGTTAATCAGCCAATGCAAACACTGTATCAGACAGGTTGGGGATTTGCATCGGCTACCTACACGGTCCAAATCGGCGTCTATGAGAACAACGGTATTACATCTCAAGCCATGGCTGTGAACATATTTAGGCCGTATCCAGCCACTTTCTACACCACTACTACTGGAGATGTTACGGCCCCGACTACAACTACCTCTCATACTATAGTCTATAACTACAACAATGATTATAGTCTTACTCAAGAGTTTAATGAGGCTGTTATAATAGTGATTGAGCCACCACCATCCACCACCTATACTACCACTTCTGCTCCAGTTTTTTTCCTAACAACCACTACTTACACCACTACTACCACTGATAGCAATGGCTCTTCATCTGAGGAAGTTGTTGTGGTAGTGATCACCCCAGCTCCAATGACCTCCTACACTACGACTACCGCAGATGTCAAAGTTCCAATTACATCTACTTACACAACCACAGTTATGGACAATTTCGGTGCATCTTCTCCAGAAGTTGTTGTTGTTGTGGTCACCCCATCCCCATCTACCTCCTACACCACTACTACTGCAGATGTCAGAGCTCTAACTACAACCACATATACCACAGTAATTGACCACGATGGTTCATCTTCTCCAGAAGTTGTTGTTGTTGTGGTCACCCCATCCCCATCCACCACCTACACTACTACTACTGCAGATGTCACAGTTCCAACTACAACCACCTACACCACCACACTTGTTGATGGCGACGGTTCATCTTCTCCAGAGGTTGTTGTGGTAGTGATCACTCCATCCCCATCCACAACCTACACTACTATTGCTGCAAGCATTTCTGCCCCAACCACAACCACCTATACTACTATCGTCACTGACAGTAACGGTTCTTCATCTCCAGAAGTTGTTGTTGTAGTGGCCACTCCAATACCAAGTGCGGTCACATCGTTCGTTGCAGGCATGGTTGATTCAACCACTGTTCTTTTCACCCTCACCTCCTACACCACCAACTCCAAGGGTAGCAGCACTCCAATTGACATAGTAATTGTTGAGACTCCAATGCCAACTGCTATGATCTCACATGCTCCAACGATGATTGGATCTGCCTCTGATGACTCCACCACCAACCCCAGGGGCAGCAGCACTCCAATGGACGATGTAAGCGTTAAGACCCCAATGGCAAGTGTAATTACATCATTCGTTGCAGGTATGATTGATTCGACTGATGTTCTCTTCACCCTCACATCTTACACTACGAACTCCAAGGGTAGCAGCACCCACATTGACATTGTGATTGTAGAAACACCAATGCCAACCGCTCTGATCTCGCATGCTCCAAGCATGATCACCTCCTATGTTCCAGGCATGGTTGGTTCTGCTTCTGTTCTATCCACCTCCACCTTGTACACCACCAACTACAACGGCAGCAGCACCCACATTGGTGTTGTGATTGTTGAGACCCCAATGCCAAGTGTCATTACTTCCTATGTTCCAGGCATGGTTGGTTCTGCTTCTGTTCTATCCACCTCCACCCTGTACACCACCAACTACAACGGCAGCAGCACTCATATTGGTGTTGTGATTGTTGAGACCCCAATGCCATCTGTGATCACCTCCTATGTTCCAGGCATGGTTGGTTCTGCTTCTGTGCTATCCACCTCCACCCTGTACACCACCAACTACAACGGCAGCAGCACCCACATTGGTGTTGTGATTGTTGAGACCCCAATGCCAAGTGTCATTACCTCCTATGTTCCAGGCATGGTTGGCTCTGCTTCTGTTCTATCCACCTCCACCTTGTACACCACCAACTACAACGGCAGCAGCACCCACATTGGTGTTGTGATTGTTGAGACCCCAATGCCATCTGTGATCACCTCCTATGTTCCAGGCATGGTTGGTTCTGCTTCTGTTCTATCCACCTCCACCTTGTACACCACCAACTACAACGGCAGCAGCACCCACATTGGTGTTGTGATTGTTGAGACCCCAATGCCATCTGTGATCACCTCCTATGTTCCAGGCATGGTTGGTTCTGCTTCTGTTCTATCCACCTCCACCCTGTACACCACCAACTACAACGGCAGCAGCACCCACATTGGTGTTGTGATTGTTGAGACCCCAATGCCATCTGTGATCACCTCCTATGTTCCAGGCATGGTTGGTTCTGCTTCTGTGTCTATCCACCTCCACCCTGTACACCACCAACTACAACGGCAGCAGCACCCACATTGGTGTTGTGATTGTTGAGACCCCAATGCCATCTGTGATCACCTCCTATGTTCCAGGCATGGTTGGTTCTGCTTCTGTGTCTATCCACCTCCACCCTGTACACCACCAACTACAACGGCAGCAGCACTCACATTGGTGTTGTGATTGTTGAAACCCCAATGCCATCTGTGATCACTTCCTATGTTCCAGGCATGGTTGGTTCTGCTTCTGTGTCTATCCACCTCCACCCTGTACACCACCAACTACAACGGCAGCAGCACCCACATTGGTGTTGTGATTGTTGAGACCCCAATGCCAAGTGTCATTACTTCCTATGTTCCAGGCATGGTTGGTTCTGCTTCTGTGCTATCCACCTCCACCCTGTACACCACCAACTACAACGGCAGCAGCACCCACATTGGTGTTGTGATTGTTGAGACCCCAATGCCATCTGTGATCACCTCCTATGTTCCAGGCATGGTTGGTTCTGCTTCTGTTGTATCCACCTCCACCATGTACACCACCAACTACAACGGCAGCAGCACCCACATTGGTGTTGTGATTGTTGAGACCCCAATGCCATCTGTGATCACCTCCTATGTTCCAGGCATGGTTGGTTCTGCTTCTGTTCTATCCACCTCCACCCTGTACACCACCAACTACAACGGCAGCAGCACCCACATTGGTGTTGTGATTGTTGAGACCCCAATGCCAAGTGTCATTACTTCCTATGTTCCAGGCATGGTTGGTTCTGCTTCTGTTCTATCCACCTCCACCTTGTACACCACCAACTACAACGGCAGCAGCACCCACATTGGTGTTGTGATTGTTGAGACCCCAATGCCATCTGTGATCACCTCCTATGTTCCAGGCATGGTTGGTTCTGCTTCTGTTCTATCCACCTCCACCTTGTACACCACCAACTACAACGGCAGCAGCACCCACATTGGTGTTGTGATTGTTGAGACCCCAATGCCATCTGTGATCACCTCCTATGTTCCAGGCATGGTTGGTTCTGCTTCTGTGCTATCCACCTCCACCCTGTACACCACCAACTACAACGGCAGCAGCACCCACATTGGTGTTGTGATTGTTGAGACCCCAATGCCATCTGTGATCACCTCCTATGTTCCAGGCATGGTTGGCTCTGCTTCTGTGCTATCCACCTCCACCCTGTACACCACCAACTACAACGGCAGCAGCACCCACATTGGTGTTGTGATTGTTGAGACCCCAATGCCATCTGTGATCACCTCCTATGTTCCAGGCATGGTTGGTTCTGCTTCTGTGTCTATCCACCTCCACCCTGTACACCACCAACTACAACGGCAGCAGCACTCACATTGGTGTTGTGATTGTTGAGACCCCAATGCCATCTGTGATCACTTCCTATGTTCCAGGCATGGTTGGTTCTGCTTCTGTTCTATCCACCTCCACCCTGTACACCACCAACTACAACGGCAGCAGCACCCACATTGGTGTTGTGATTGTTGAGACCCCAATGCCATCTGTGATCACCTCCTATGTTCCAGGCATGGTTGGTTCTGCTTCTGTTCTATCCACCTCCACCCTGTACACCACCAACTACAACGGCAGCAGCACCCACATTGGTGTTGTGATTGTTGAGACCCCAATGCCATCTGTGATCACCTCCTATGTTCCAGGCATGGTTGGTTCTGCTTCTGTTCTATCCACCTCCACCCTGTACACCACCAACTACAACGGCAGCAGCACTCACATTGGTGTTGTGATTGTTGAGACCCCAATGCCAAGTGTCATTACTTCCTATGTTCCAGGCATGGTTGGTTCTGCTTCTGTTCTATCCACCTCCACCTTGTACACCACCAACTACAACGGCAGCAGCACCCACATTGGTGTTGTGATTGTTGAAACCCCAATGCCATCTGTGATCACTTCCTATGTTCCAGGCATGGTTGGTTCTGCTTCTGTTCTATCCACCTCCACCCTGTACACCACCAACTACAACGGCAGCAGCACTCACATTGGTGTTGTGATTGTTGAGACCCCAATGCCATCTGTGATCACTTCCTATGTTCCAGGCATGGTTGGTTCTGCTTCTGTTCTATCCACCTCCACCCTGTACACCACCAACTACAACGGCAGCAGCACCCACATTGGTGTTGTGATTGTTGAAACCCCAATGCCAAGTGTCATTACTTCCTATGTTCCAGGCATGGTTGGTTCTGCTTCTGTTCTATCCACCTCCACCCTATACACCACCAACTACAACGGCAGCAGCACCCACATTGGTGTTGTGATTGTTGAGACCCCAATGCCAAGTGTCATTACTTCCTATGTTCCAGGCATGGTTGGTTCTGCTTCTGTTCTATCCACCTCCACCCTGTACACCACCAACTACAACGGCAGCAGCACCCACATTGGTGTTGTGATTGTTGAGACCCCAATGCCATCTGTGATCACCTCCTATGTTCCAGGCATGGTTGGTTCTGCTTCTGTTCTATCCACCTCCACCCTGTACACCACCAACTACAACGGCAGCAGCACCCACATTGGTGTTGTGATTGTTGAGACCCCAATGCCAAGTGTCATTACTTCCTATGTTCCAGGCATGGTTGGTTCTGCTTCTGTTCTATCCACCTCCACCTTGTACACCACCAACTACAACGGTAGCAGCACCCACATTGGTGTTGTGATTGTTGAGACCCCAATGCCATCTGTGATCACCTCCTATGTTCCAGGCATGGTTGGTTCTGCTTCTGTGTCTATCCACCTCCACCCTGTACACCACCAACTACAACGGCAGCAGCACCCACATTGGTGTTGTGATTGTTGAGACCCCAATGCCATCTGTGATCACTTCCTATGTTCCAGGCATGGTTGGTTCTGCTTCTGTTCTATCCACCTCCACCCTGTACACCACCAACTACAACGGCAGCAGCACCCACATTGGTGTTGTGATTGTTGAGACCCCAATGCCATCTGTGATCACCTCCTATGTTCCAGGCATGGTTGGTTCTGCTTCTGTTCTATCCACCTCCACCTTGTACACCACCAACTACAACGGCAGCAGCACCCACATTGGTGTTGTGATTGTTGAGACCCCAATGCCATCTGTGATCACCTCCTATGTTCCAGGCATGGTTGGCTCTGCTTCTGTGCTATCCACCTCCACCCTGTACACCACCAACTACAACGGCAGCAGCACCCACATTGGTGTTGTGATTGTTGAGACCCCAATGCCATCTGTGATCACTTCCTATGTTCCAGGCATGGTTGGTTCTGCTTCTGTTCTATCCACCTCCACCTTGTACACCACCAACTACAACGGCAGCAGCACCCACATTGGTGTTGTGATTGTTGAGACCCCAATGCCAAGTGTCATTACTTCCTATGTTCCAGGCATGGTTGGTTCTGCTTCTGTTCTATCCACCTCCACCTTGTACACCACCAACTACAACGGCAGCAGCACTCACATTGGTGTTGTGATTGTTGAAACCCCAATGCCATCTGTGATCACCTCCTATGTTCCAGGCATGGTTGGTTCTGCTTCTGTTCTATCCACCTCCACCCTGTACACCACCAACTACAACGGCAGCAGCACCCACATTGGTGTTGTGATTGTTGAGACCCCAATGCCATCTGTGATCACCTCCTATGTTCCAGGCATGGTTGGTTCTGCTTCTGTTCTATCCACCTCCACCTTGTACACCACCAACTACAACGGCAGCAGCACCCACATTGGTGTTGTGATTGTTGAGACCCCAATGCCATCTGTGATCACCTCCTATGTTCCAGGCATGGTTGGTTCTGCTTCTGTTCTATCCACCTCCACCCTGTACACCACCAACTACAACGGCAGCAGCACCCACATTGGTGTTGTGATTGTTGAGACCCCAATGCCATCTGTGATCACCTCCTATGTTCCAGGCATGGTTGGTTCTGCTTCTGTGCTATCCACCTCCACCCTGTACACCACCAACTACAACGGCAGCAGCACCCACATTGGTGTTGTGATTGTTGAGACCCCAATGCCATCTGTGATCACTTCCTATGTTCCAGGCATGGTTGGTTCTGCTTCTGTTCTATCCACCTCCACCCTGTACACCACCAACTACAACGGTAGCAGCACCCACATCGGTGTTGTGATTGTTGAGACCCCAATGCCATCTGTGATCACCTCCTATGTTCCAGGCATGGTTGGTTCTGCTTCTGTTCTATCCACCTCCACCCTGTACACCACCAACTACAACGGCAGCAGCACCCACATTGGTGTTGTGATTGTTGAGACCCCAATGCCATCTGTGATCACCTCCTATGTTCCAGGCATGGTTGGTTCTGCTTCTGTTCTATCCACCTCCACCCTGTACACCACCAACTACAACGGCAGCAGCACCCACATTGGTGTTGTGATTGTTGAGACCCCAATGCCATCTGTGATCACCTCCTATGTTCCAGGCATGGTTGGTTCTGCTTCTGTTCTATCCACCTCCACCCTATACACCACCAACTACAACGGCAGCAGCACTCACATTGGTGTTGTGATTGTTGAAACCCCAATGCCATCTGTGATCACTTCCTATGTTCCAGGCATGGTTGGTTCTGCTTCTGTTCTATCCACCTCCACCCTGTACACCACCAACTACAACGGCAGCAGCACCCACATTGGTGTTGTGATTGTTGAGACCCCAATGCCATCTGTGATCACCTCCTATGTTCCAGGCATGGTTGGTTCTGCTTCTGTTCTATCCACCTCCACCCTGTACACCACCAACTACAACGGCAGCAGCACCCACATTGGTGTTGTGATTGTTGAGACCCCAATGCCATCTGTGATCACCTCCTATGTTCCAGGCATGGTTGGTTCTGCTTCTGTTCTATCCACCTCCACCCTGTACACCACCAACTACAACGGCAGCAGCACCCACATTGGTGTTGTGATTGTTGAGACCCCAATGCCATCTGTGATCACCTCCTATGTTCCAGGCATGGTTGGTTCTGCTTCTGTTCTATCCACCTCCACCCTGTACACCACCAACTACAACGGCAGCAGCACCCACATTGGTGTTGTGATTGTTGAGACCCCAATGCCATCTGTGATCACCTCCTATGTTCCAGGCATGGTTGGTTCTGCTTCTGTTCTATCCACCTCCACCCTATACACCACCAACTACAACGGCAGCAGCACCCACATTGGTGTTGTGATTGTTGAGACCCCAATGCCATCTGTGATCACCTCCTATGTTCCAGGCATGGTTGGTTCTGCTTCTGTTCTATCCACCTCCACCCTGTACACCACCAACTACAACGGCAGCAGCACCCACATTGGTGTTGTGATTGTTGAGACCCCAATGCCATCTGTGATCACTTCCTATGTTCCAGGCATGGTTGGTTCTGCTTCTGTTCTATCCACCTCCACCCTGTACACCACCAACTACAACGGCAGCAGCACCCACATTGGTGTTGTGATTGTTGAGACCCCAATGCCATCTGTGATCACCTCCTATGTTCCAGGCATGGTTGGTTCTGCTTCTGTTCTATCCACCTCCACCTTGTACACCACCAACTACAACGGCAGCAGCACTCACATTGGTGTTGTGATTGTTGAGACCCCAATGCCATCTGTGATCACTTCCTATGTTCCAGGCATGGTTGGTTCTGCTTCTGTTCTATCCACCTCCACCCTGTACACCACCAACTACAACGGCAGCAGCACCCACATTGGTGTTGTGATTGTTGAGACCCCAATGCCATCTGTGATCACCTCCTATGTTCCAGGCATGGTTGGTTCTGCTTCTGTTCTATCCACCTCCACCCTGTACACCACCAACTACAACGGCAGCAGCACCCACATTGGTGTTGTGATTGTTGAGACCCCAATGCCATCTGTGATCACTTCCTATGTTCCAGGCATGGTTGGTTCTGCTTCTGTTCTATCCACCTCCACCCTGTACACCACCAACTACAACGGCAGCAGCACCCACATTGGTGTTGTGATTGTTGAGACCCCAATGCCAAGTGTCATTACTTCCTATGTTCCAGGCATGGTTGGCTCTGCTTCTGTTCTATCCACCTCCACCTTGTACACCACCAACTACAACGGCAGCAGCACCCACATTGGTGTTGTGATTGTTGAGACCCCAATGCCAAGTGTCATTACTTCCTATGTTCCAGGCATGGTTGGTTCTGCTTCTGTTCTATCCACCTCCACCTTGTACACCACCAACTACAACGGCAGCAGCACCCACATTGGTGTTGTGATTGTTGAGACCCCAATGCCATCTGTGATCACCTCCTATGTTCCAGGCATGGTTGGTTCTGCTTCTGTTCTATCCACCTCCACCCTGTACACCACCAACTACAACGGCAGCAGCACCCACATTGGTGTTGTGATTGTTGAGACCCCAATGCCATCTGTGATCACCTCCTATGTTCCAGGCATGGTTGGTTCTGCTTCTGTTCTATCCACCTCCACCCTGTACACCACCAACTACAACGGCAGCAGCACCCACATTGGTGTTGTGATTGTTGAAACCCCAATGCCATCTGTGATCACCTCCTATGTTCCAGGCATGGTTGGTTCTGCTTCTGTTCTATCCACCTCCACCCTGTACACCACCAACTACAACGGCAGCAGCACCCACATTGGTGTTGTGATTGTTGAGACCCCAATGCCATCTGTGATCACCTCCTATGTTCCAGGCATGGTTGGTTCTGCTTCTGTTCTATCCACCTCCACCCTGTACACCACCAACTACAACGGCAGCAGCACCCACATTGGTGTTGTGATTGTTGAAACCCCAATGCCATCTGTGATCACCTCCTATGTTCCAGGCATGGTTGGTTCTGCTTCTGTTCTATCCACCTCCACCCTGTACACCACCAACTACAACGGTAGCAGCACCCACATTGGTGTTGTGATTGTTGAGACCCCAATGCCATCTGTGATCACCTCCTATGTTCCAGGCATGGTTGGTTCTGCTTCTGTTCTATCCACCTCCACCTTGTACACCACCAACTACAACGGCAGCAGCACTCACATTGGTGTTGTGATTGTTGAAACCCCAATGCCATCTGTGATCACCTCCTATGTTCCAGGCATGGTTGGTTCTGCTTCTGTTCTATCCACCTCCACCCTGTACACCACCAACTACAACGGCAGCAGCACCCACATTGGTGTTGTGATTGTTGAAACCCCAATGCCATCTGTGATCACCTCCTATGTTCCAGGCATGGTTGGTTCTGCTTCTGTTCTATCCACCTCCACCCTGTACACCACCAACTACAACGGCAGCAGCACCCACATTGGTGTTGTGATTGTTGAGACCCCAATGCCATCTGTGATCACCTCCTATGTTCCAGGCATGGTTGGTTCTGCTTCTGTTCTATCCACCTCCACCCTGTACACCACCAACTACAACGGCAGCAGCACCCACATCGGTGTTGTGATTGTTGAGACCCCAATGCCATCTGTGATCACCTCCTATGTTCCAGGCATGGTTGGCTCTGCTTCTGTTCTATCCACCTCCACCCTGTACACCACCAACTACAACGGCAGCAGCACCCACATCGGTGTTGTGATTGTTGAGACCCCAATGCCATCTGTGATCACCTCCTATGTTCCAGGCATGGTTGGTTCTGCTTCTGTTCTATCCACCTCCACCCTGTACACCACCAACTACAACGGCAGCAGCACCCACATTGGTGTTGTGATTGTTGAGACCCCAATGCCATCTGTGATCACCTCCTATGTTCCAGGCATGGTTGGTTCTGCTTCTGTGCTATCCACCTCCACCCTGTACACCACCAACTACAACGGCAGCAGCACCCACATTGGTGTTGTGATTGTTGAGACCCCAATGCCATCTGTGATCACCTCCTATGTTCCAGGCATGGTTGGTTCTGCTTCTGTTCTATCCACCTCCACCCTGTACACCACCAACTACAACGGCAGCAGCACCCACATTGGTGTTGTGATTGTTGAGACCCCAATGCCATCTGTGATCACCTCCTATGTTCCAGGCATGGTTGGTTCTGCTTCTGTTCTATCCACCTCCACCTTGTACACCACCAACTACAACGGCAGCAGCACTCACATTGGTGTTGTGATTGTTGAAACCCCAATGCCATCTGTGATCACCTCCTATGTTCCAGGCATGGTTGGTTCTGCTTCTGTTCTATCCACCTCCACCCTGTACACCACCAACTACAACGGCAGCAGCACCCACATTGGTGTTGTGATTGTTGAGACCCCAATGCCATCTGTGATCACCTCCTATGTTCCAGGCATGGTTGGTTCTGCTTCTGTTCTATCCACCTCCACCCTGTACACCACCAACTACAACGGCAGCAGCACCCACATTGGTGTTGTGATTGTTGAGACCCCAATGCCATCTGTGATCACCTCCTATGTTCCAGGCATGGTTGGTTCTGCTTCTGTTCTATCCACCTCCACCCTGTACACCACCAACTACAACGGCAGCAGCACCCACATTGGTGTTGTGATTGTTGAGACCCCAATGCCATCTGTGATCACCTCCTATGTTCCAGGCATGGTTGGTTCTGCTTCTGTTCTATCCACCTCCACCCTGTACACCACCAACTACAACGGCAGCAGCACCCACATTGGTGTTGTGATTGTTGAGACCCCAATGCCAAGTGTCATTACTTCCTATGTTCCAGGCATGGTTGGTTCTGCTTCTGTTCTATCCACCTCCACCCTGTACACCACCAACTACAACGGCAGCAGCACCCACATTGGTGTTGTGATTGTTGAGACCCCAATGCCAAGTGTCATTACTTCCTATGTTCCAGGCATGGTTGGTTCTGCTTCTGTTCTATCCACCTCCACCCTGTACACCACCAACTACAACGGCAGCAGCACCCACATTGGTGTTGTGATTGTTGAGACCCCAATGCCATCTGTGATCACCTCCTATGTTCCAGGCATGGTTGGTTCTGCTTCTGTTCTATCCACCTCCACCCTGTACACCACCAACTACAACGGCAGCAGCACCCACATTGGTGTTGTGATTGTTGAGACCCCAATGCCATCTGTGATCACTTCCTATGTTCCAGGCATGGTTGGCTCTGCTTCTGTTCTATCCACCTCCACCCTGTACACCACCAACTACAACGGCAGCAGCACCCACATCGGTGTTGTGATTGTTGAAACCCCAATGCCATCTGTGATCACCTCCTATGTTCCAGGCATGGTTGGTTCTGCTTCTGTTCTATCCACCTCCACCCTGTACACCACCAACTACAACGGCAGCAGCACCCACATTGGTGTTGTGATTGTTGAGACCCCAATGCCATCTGTGATCACCTCCTATGTTCCAGGCATGGTTGGTTCTGCTTCTGTTCTATCCACCTCCACCCTATACACCACCAACTACAACGGCAGCAGCACCCACATTGGTGTTGTGATTGTTGAGACCCCAATGCCATCTGTGATCACCTCCTATGTTCCAGGCATGGTTGGTTCTGCTTCTGTGCTATCCACCTCCACCCTGTACACCACCAACTACAACGGCAGCAGCACCCACATTGGTGTTGTGATTGTTGAGACCCCAATGCCATCTGTGATCACTTCCTATGTTCCAGGCATGGTTGGTTCTGCTTCTGTTCTATCCACCTCCACCCTATACACCACCAACTACAACGGCAGCAGCACCCACATTGGTGTTGTGATTGTTGAGACCCCAATGCCATCTGTGATCACCTCCTATGTTCCAGGCATGGTTGGTTCTGCTTCTGTTCTATCCACCTCCACCCTATACACCACCAACTACAACGGCAGCAGCACCCACATTGGTGTTGTGATTGTTGAGACCCCAATGCCATCTGTGATCACCTCCTATGTTCCAGGCATGGTTGGTTCTGCTTCTGTGCTATCCACCTCCACCCTGTACACCACCAACTACAACGGCAGCAGCACCCACATTGGTGTTGTGATTGTTGAGACCCCAATGCCATCTGTGATCACCTCCTATGTTCCAGGCATGGTTGGCTCTGCTTCTGTTCTATCCACCTCCACCATGTACACCACCAACTACAACGGCAGCAGCACCCACATTGGTGTTGTGATTGTTGAAACCCCAATGCCAAGTGTCATTACTTCCTATGTTCCAGGCATGGTTGGCTCTGCTTCTGTTCTATCCACCTCCACCCTATACACCACCAACTACAACGGTAGCAGCACCCACATTGGTGTTGTGATTGTTGAGACCCCAATGCCAAGTGTCATTACTTCCTATGTTCCAGGCATGGTTGGTTCTGCTTCTGTTCTATCCACCTCCACCCTGTACACCACCAACTACAACGGCAGCAGCACCCACATTGGTGTTGTGATTGTTGAGACCCCAATGCCATCTGTGATCACCTCCTATGTTCCAGGCATGGTTGGTTCTTCTTCTGTTCTATCCACCTCCACCCTATACACCACCAACTACAACGGCAGCAGCACCCACATTGGTGTTGTGATTGTTGAGACCCCAATGCCATCTGTGATCACCTCCTATGTTCCAGGCATGGTTGGTTCTGCTTCTGTTCTATCCACCTCCACCCTATACACCACCAACTACAACGGCAGCAGCACTCATATTGGTGTTGTGATTGTTGAGACCCCAATGCCATCTGTGATCACCTCCTATGTTCCAGGCATGGTTGGTTCTGCTTCTGTTCTATCCACCTCCACCCTGTACACCACCAACTACAACGGCAGCAGCACCCACATTGGTGTTGTGATTGTTGAGACCCCAATGCCATCTGTGATCACCTCCTATGTTCCAGGCATGGTTGGTTCTTCTTCTGTTCTATCCACCTCCACCCTATACACCACCAACTACAACGGCAGCAGCACCCACATTGGTGTTGTGATTGTTGAGACCCCAATGCCATCTGTGATCACCTCCTATGTTCCAGGCATGGTTGGTTCTGCTTCTGTTCTATCCACCTCCACCCTGTACACCACCAACTACAACGGCAGCAGCACCCACATCGGTGTTGTGATTGTTGAAACCCCAATGCCAAGTGTCATTACTTCCTATGTTCCAGGCATGGTTGGTTCTGCTTCTGTTCTATCCACCTCCACCCTGTACACCACCAACTACAACGGCAGCAGCACCCACATTGGTGTTGTGATTGTTGAAACCCCAATGCCATCTGTGATCACCTCCTATGTTCCAGGCATGGTTGGTTCTGCTTCTGTTCTATCCACCTCCACCCTATACACCACCAACTACAACGGCAGCAGCACTCATATTGGTGTTGTGATTGTCGAAACCCCAATGCCATCTGTGATCACCTCCTATGTTCCAGGCATGGTTGGTTCTGCTTCTGTTCTATCCACCTCCACCCTGTACACCACCAACTACAACGGTAGCAGCACCCACATTGGTGTTGTGATTGTTGAAACCCCAATGCCAAGTGTCATTACTTCCTATGTTCCAGGCATGGTTGGTTCTTCTTCTGTTGTCTCCACCTCCACCTTGTACACCACCAACTACAACGGTAGCAGCACCCACATTGGTGTTGTGATTGTTGAGACCCCAATGCCATCTGTGATCACCTCCTATGTTCCAGGCATGGTTGGTTCTTCTTCTGTTGTCTCCACCTCCACCATGTACACCACCGACAACAACGGCAGCAGCACCCACATTGGTGTTGTGATTGTTGAGACCCCAATGCCATCTGTGATCACCTCCTATGTTCCAGGCATGGTTGGTTCTGCTTCTGTTGTCTCCACCTCCACCATGTACACCACCGACAAGAACGGCAGGAGCACTCACATTGGTGTTGTGATTGTTGAGACCCCAATGCCAAGTACATTCACCAGCACTATGTATACTACCAATTCCATGGGCAGCAGTACTCCAGTTATTGTCGTGATTGTTCAAACCCCAAAGCCAAGCGCTATCACTTCTTATGTTGCAGCCACCGGTCTTTCATCCACTGTCACCTTCACCTCCACCTCCTACACTACCAACTCTGATGGCAGCAGCACTCCAGTTGACATTGTGATTGTCGAGACTCCAATGCCAAGTCAGATCACTTCTTATGTTGCAGCTACCGGTCTCTCACCAACTGTTACATTCACCTCCACCTCCTACACTACCAACTCTGATGGCAGCAGCACTCCAGTAGACATTGTGATTGTGGAAACCCCAATGCCAAGCGCTATCACGAAATATGTTCCAGGCATGGTTGGTTCAGCTTCTATCATGTTTACCTCCACCTCCTACACTACCAACTCTGATGGCAGCAGCACTCCAGTAGACATTGTGATTGTGGAAACCCCAATGCCAAGCGCTATCACGAAATATGTTCCAGGCATGGTTGGTTCAGCTTCTATCATGTTTACCTCCACCTCCTACACTACCAACTCTGACGGTAGCAGCACTCCAGTAGACATTGTGATTGTCGAAACCCCAATGCCAAGCGCTATCACTTCTTATGTTGCAGCCACCGGTCTTTCATCCACTGTCACCTTCACCTCCACCTCCTACACTACCAACTCTGACGGCAGCAGCACTCCAGTAGACATTGTGATTGTCGAAACCCCAATGCCAAGCGCTATCACTTCTTATGTTGCGGCCACTGGTCGCTCAACCTCTATCATCACCACCTCCATCTTCTACACTACCAATTCTGACGGCAGCAGCACTCCAATCGGTGTTGTAATTGTTGGTACCCCAACAGTCACTAGTACAAGTTTGGGATATCACTATTGGAATTCTTCAGTAGTTTCCACAAAATTGTCAAGGTCATACAGTTCAATTTCGAAATATTCAAAGGAAAGCATTAGAAGGACAACAAATGCTGAAGCATCTAATGCCAATAATTGGAACACTAGGACAATTGAATCATCATTCTCTTCAGCAGTTTCTGACAGGTCAAGGTCCTCTAACGAGAACACTGCAACTACAGGAAACATAGAAACTTCTGGTGTTAACAGTTGGAGTACTATGAAGAGTGAATCATCGTCCAGAAGAAACGGGGTTGAAAGTAAAACAGGTTCTTCAACTGAGGCAATCACAAATACTCCAAAGGTTACTGCAACTCAAGAGCCATTACAGGTATCTTCTCAAAGTGCTAATCCAAATAGTAGATCGAATACAGTAACATTGTCACGTTATGAAACTTCAGGTTCATCTACTTCAAGTATCATGAATAGTCAACAAATTACTGTTGCACCAGAGCAACTACACGTATCTTCTCAAAGTGCAAGTCCAAGCAGTAGATTAAGTATAGTAACATTATCACATCATGAAACTTCAAGTTCGTCTACTTCAATTATTATGAATAGTCAACAAAATACTATTGCACAAGGGCCATTACACGTCTCTTCTCAAACCACAGAGTCGAGTGGCAGATCGAGTACAGTAACATTATCACGTTATGAAACTTCAGGTTCATCTACTTCAAGTATCATGAATAGTCAACAAATTACTGTTGCACCAGAGCAACTACACGTATCTTCTCAAAGTGCAAGTCCAAGTAGCAGATTAAGTGCCAAAACCTTGTCACAATATAAAGCTTCTGCTCCTACATTTAGTGTTAACAGTTGGAATACTATGAAGAGTGAATCATCGTCCAGAAGAAACGGGGTTGAAGATCAAGCAGGTTCTTCAACTGAGGCAATCACATATACTCCAAAGGTTACTGCAACTCAAGAGCCATTACAGGTATCTTCTCAAAGGGCAAATCCAAGTGGCAGATCAAATACAGTAACATTATCACGTTATGAAACTTCAGGTTCATCTACTTCAAGTATCATGAATAGTCAACAAATTACTGTTGCACCAGAGCAACTACACGTATCTTCTCAAAGTGCAAGTCCAAGTAGCAGATTAAGTGCCATAACCTTGTCACAATACGAAGCTTCTGCTCCTGATACTGCTGGTACACGGTCAAATTTTATCTTAGTGCTTTTCTCCTTATTTCTATTCATGGTTTAGTTAATTTTTAAACAATATACATATGTATTATATATAATAGTATTTGTCTATACCCCAATATCTACTCTTGTAATACATATTTTATATTAATTTATCGGTGCGTTTTTTATTATTTCAAAAGTAACAAAGGAAGGCTGTTCTTTTTTCTCGGTATAAATAATATTAGTGTATATGTTTTAGCACCGGTTTGTAAGAAATTATCTCAAGTAATATATATTACAATATGAATATTAATCATATATGAACACTTACTGCTGAAATTGAACTTTCTAGAATTAATAATAGACCAATTAGATTTTAGTAAACATTAATTGATACGCCAAAAGTGGAGAACGTACTGTTTGCTTGTCAGTAGACGTAAACAAACCTGATCATAAATTTGGTGCCGTACATAGACGAGATAGAGGAGATATGAAAATATATAAAGCCAGCTTTTTTCATATCATGTTTCTCCCCTTGTTCACCTTTTATAAATAAACAAACCGAAGAACTTTATTATAATTTTGTATACTATATCTATCTAATATAATATTGAGAATGTTTACTATATATCCAATGACTACGGGCGCTCATGCTCATCAATAATACATCATATAATTATGTGCATTATTTTCATAGGTTTTTAATAAACCAGAGATCCAATTTACTAATAAGTTAAGTCATGACTGTATTAAATACAAACACCACTACTTTCCAAGATTATCATCTTTTTTTATTTTATTGTTACAAGGTTATGTTAATATTTGAATAATCAAGTAGATCATTTTAATATAATAAATTTTAGTAACGAAAAACAATTTTGTTAAAGCTATAAAATTAATATTTCTAGTAGTGAGAGTTTTATAATGGAATATCTGATTATAGATAAATTATAGGAATTGATGTGAAATCAATTTTGGTGTATTGGATAGGTTAAAATATATTAGTTACATTCTTATTCTATTACTTATATTCATATTGTTAATATTACAGTTTTGATCAAAGATAGCACATATTTTAGGAATTGTAATAAAACAGTCTCAGTCTAATAATTGGTTTATATTTGTTAGATTATTTATTTTCCAGATCGTTTGTTCTAGGTAGGTGATGATTTGTTTCAATATTAATTTATTCTACAGTGTCTAATGAGGAGTAACAGAATTATCAATTAATTGAGATATGAATAGAATAAATAATGTTCATTTCCAAGTCATACAACATCCATGTTATAATGAAAATTAGTGCTTGAATATTCATTATTTATTCCTGTTATCATGTTATAGTTAGTAGTATGTATATCCATCTGATAATATCATCCAATGCATAATAAAGTAATATACAATCTTTTTTTTTCATATTCAAACTATTGATAAGGAATTGCGTCTGAATATTTTTAAGTAATTATATTTATAAAGACGTTATGTTAATGTAAAGTATTCTATTAATAGATATCTAGTCTAGAAATA